CTGAACTCTCTTGCTGTTTGGTGGGCCGTGGAACCACCGATAAGATTCTATGTATTTAAAGTTTAGCTGAACACTTTAGTTATTCATCAGGCTGTGGTAATAATGATGCGGGTCTCATATATTTAAATACCGGCGTGGTATCTTATTATTGGTTCCACATCCCGTTGAACAGTTAATTTGAATTATTTTAACTTATCAATAATTCCACAACACGCTGAACAGCAAAAGCATTTAGCTAAAGCTCTCAACTCGGATTCAGATTAGTTGATCGCTTTGGCTGTTCAGCTGCCTGTGGAAGTGGAACTAATCGCAAAGTTTCATGTCAGTAATAAAATACAAGGGGCTCACACTGGGGTGGATAAATTTATTACTGACTTAGAATCTCATAATTGGTTTCACAGGGCACAAACATGGTTCTTTGCTCTTTTCGAGTCCCCCATCCGATCTATTTTAGATCCTTCGCTCGTAATTAAGTTGATTTTTCTCTATAGGCTTAATTTGAAAATAGGATAAATATAAATATATACAAAATACAACATTTTGCACTCTATAAATTTGTATTTATATTCCTTTCAAACTGAGGCATAGCTTCATTTTATTTTCTTACAAGTTTGTTATTGTCTCGTTTGATTTATTTTTGTTGCCACGTCCGTTTGTGTTTTAGGACATTTGTTGTGTTGTCAACTCACAATTCTTCGCTGAGCTTTAAGCTACGGTTTTGAGAAGTGTATGGGAGGTGTAGTGTAAGAGTCGGATGATTATGGATTGAGCCGAGCTTTTAGGCCTGAGGGTATGGGCGGGTTTAAATTATTGGTTATAAAATATTATAATAATTTATATAATTATGTATAAATTTTAATTTATACATTATATAATATAAAATAACGTATATGCATAAATATAAATTATAAAAAAATACTGATATGGCCATAACCAACCACAAGTCAGAAACTATCAAGTGCTAAAATGTTGGGGAGCAAAATTGCTAATTGATCAGGCCGAGCTGACTTGACTTGAAGAGATAATTTGATCGGGCCCATATGATCTAGTATCAGTTCATAACATGCACAAGCAATGCGTGTTGAGCTGATCAGCACATCAATCCCAACATATTTCATATAAGTCCATTACCTATTACATCCATAAAATGTGTACACAATATGCACACAACGTGTCAATCAAGGATATGTCAAGTGGACTGAACTCTATGTATTAGAGATGTATCAATTCTTGGATGAAGCTCCTCTTTTATGAGCCCCTCATTCGTTTGATACATAATACAACATTGCATTAGACTATTATATGCAAGACACGCTAGACATCTCCACGCACATATAACAAGCTCTCTAGCTCTCTCAGTAAACTCTCCAACTCACCTTTTTTTCCTTTGAGTTATTGACTTAATTATCAGAATCCACACCTCTGGGATATCAACCCGGGGCTTCTGATGTCTCTTATAATTGCAAGTGTCCCTTATCTGCCAAGGTGCCAAGCCGAAATAACACCCTACTCCAACAACTTCCCATCTCCGCCTCATGGCCAATTTTAACGTCAATAATTACAGATATAAAATAAATGCGAGTTGGACCAGAAGTATTATGCCCAATGCCCAAGTAAGGCCTGAACACCCCAAAAAAACCCTAACCCTAAGTAAGGTCTGCTTGATGTAAGTAGACAGGAGTGTCAATGGATCGGTTTCGGGTGTCCGTCCGATCGAAAGTATTATGGACAGATTTGGACAGTCCTAAAATTGATATGGATTCGGACCGGTCCAAACATGAATCGTCCATTCATAGAATAGACCAAAGTGGACAAGGCCAAAAGTTTCAGACGAGCCCATTGGTCTATTTATTTTCGTTTGAAGTTTGAATGTTGAAGGTTTGAAGCATGGAAACTTTCGAAGGCTAGTTTGCCACCTCTGTCATTCCATCTCAAAGTCTCGCCGGCGCTATTTCGTTTGAAGCTTCGAATGAACTCCGACGGTATTTCCCCCTCTCCGGCTATCTTCCTCTCACCCTTAATCTGTGCACCTCCCACCTCTCCATCTCTGCACTCCACCATCGACGTCTCCGCCACAAGCGCCTGACACGCCACCGACAGGCTGGCCTCCATCTCTTTTCCGACCACCGGCCCTTGTTTCTAGGATCTGGACTACATCTCTCTTCTGGCCACAAGTGTCAGTAAACTCATTACCGCAGCAGGCTTATCACCTGACTCTTTCACTCTTTCCCGGTTTCTGATGAATCTATGGGCATCACAAATAGGGCACCGATTTGATGTCGATAAACCAGAGAGAGAGAGAGAGAGAGTGCTCACTAACCTAACTCTTTCACTATTTCCTAGTTTCTAATGAAGCTACAGGCATCACAAACAGGGCACCGATTTTATGTCTAGAAACCAAAGAGAGAGAAGAGAAAGTAGTTGCTTTGTAGGGATGGAGTCATACAATTAATTAAGTACATTGGATCTTAGCATGCTACGTGGCAACTGGCGAGTGACAAGTGATGCCACCGGCTACGACTGAGATTTCTCCAAATTTGTAGGGACGGGCGGTGGGATATTATCGGGGGAGAGGGCGAAGTTTTTAGCCTTCTAGGGTCCGTATGTGGTAGAGGTATACATCAGGTCGTGTCGCCCACGTCCTGTGATAAGGCACGGTAAAACAGCCCACGGGCTGTGCCAGGCCTGGCATGATGGTCCATGTCGTGTTGGGCTGTGCCAATCCATGGGACGTGGCAGGACGACCCCCAAATTTTTCATCAGGGAGGGCGGTATGGCCTGTGATAGCCTGCGAGCCAGCATGGCATAACCCGCACTTTGCGCAAATTGCCTGCAGGCCATGTCATGCCGGCCCTACACAACCCACTTTACACCTCTAATATGTGGCTTGGAAGGAATGTTGCTTTACCAAAACTCTCAACCAATGAAAAAACGACACATACGCGTTGAGAGGTTGTCGTATGCTGATTTTTGTTGTTATTTCACCGTTGTGGACTCTTATGGACTGTGAATAGGGAAAATATTTTTTGAGGAAAACATTTAATTTGGACCAGATTGGGTCCAATCCAGTCTATTTGCATTTCAATTGGACTAGACTTAATTTAATTTGTATGAGATTTGGACTGAATTCGGTCCAATCCAATCCAATCCAATCTATCATTGGTCCATTTACAAATAAATTGGACCAAATCAGTCCAATTGACAGCCCTATAAGTAGTGGATGAGGGGCTGTCAAAGAGTTGATTCTGCCCGATTGTCCAAACCAAACCGAACCGATTATGTTAGTTTTATTTCTATGATTTAGTCTCAACTTAATATTGAGTCGGTTCTGGTTCTTGTTTGTCGTGAACTGATTATTTAATTAAATATATAATGTTTTTGTAATTTTATAATAAGTTTTATGATATTCTATGTTCGAATAAAGGGTAAATTTGATAAATAATATCAGTTAAAAACATTTAGTTTATTAATATGTAAATAATTTAGTATTTTACTATCATTTTTATTAAGATTATATTATCAAAATTTACATTTTAAGTCATTAAATAAATATATTTTTCAGAATAATTGGGTTTATCAGTAAGATTCAATAGAAGCTGACTATTGGCCAAAATGGCTTTGGGTCTGCTTTTTTCTCCGAATTAATATTCGGCTCAAAACTGGTTCTGCCTAGACTCGACTTGTTGATGACATAAATATAATAGGTATTACAAAACATGCGGATCCAAAGAGAAATTCCTTCCAAGTCCAAACCAATGTTTTGAAAACCAACCCATAGGCTGACCCACATTTCCCAGGTCACAGGTCATCAGTTTGACCATCTAAGTTGAACGAGTCATATCGTGCCACATCATTAAATCTATCTATGTGTGTATAATTATGTATTTTATCATTAAAAAATGTATAATTATTTTTATGATGTAATATATATATATATATATTATTTTATGTTTAATTTATATTTTTAATTTATTATTTGTAAAAATATAAAAAAGTGCAATTTAAGGCTCCAAAATTGAACATCAAAGTGCAAAGTTATGGCCTCTAGAAGTATACATACATTGACTGTACAACCCACAACCTTGTGATTGGGTCAAATGGGTCAATGGTTGAACCGCTTAGGTTAGATTATTTTTTACCATATCAATATTTTTAACCAACAATTGATTTTAACAAAAACAAACCCAAAATCAAAGCCAAGTGACGATTCAAATGGTTCAACTAGCTAGGTGAATGACAGGTTGAAAACATTGGTCCAAATGCAATGGATCCAGCGTTAATTGTAGGGTTGCAAATGGATCGGATCCTGATCCGAGATTCGATCCTATTTGGTCAAATTCATATCACCCCCTGTTCGTATCTTCAGATTGGATCGGATAATATGATCTCATCAGAAATCAAATCGGATTCGGATCACCCCTATCTAATCCAAGAAGATTCGATCTGATATATATTATATATTTATAAAAATATATAGAATTTATGTATGTGTGTATATATATATATATATGTTATTTATTTATAAATATCTTTTTTATATTATATTTTTATAAATTTGTTATATTATTTATTTTGTATAAAAACATGTATATATGATGAAAATACTTAAAAAATACTTATATTTTTTACTTTATTTAAATTTTCTTTTAATAATTTATTAATTAAAAAAAACAAGTTAGAGCGGATCAAATTCGAAGATCTAACTTACCATTCAAATTCAAATTGAAACATATCATATCCGATCGGATTGAATCCGATATGAACAGTGTCAGATCGGATTCGAACCCGAGCCGTTTGCATCCCAAGAATTTGTGTATGTCGTGGCTTCTAACCGTTGGGTTCGTATTTGACTGAATTATCAAAGATCACAAACTTTGCGTAAATTTCATTGCCCCACGTGCGATACGCACGTGAATGACTCGTCCTGTAGATATCTCAAGTCTGATATTAAACGGGAGACCGGAGCCAATACAGGACCATATCCAAGACTACACCACAAGGATATTCATTTATTTTTTATTTATAATTTTACAAAAAATGGGAAGGATCTGAAAATGGCGGTTCTTTTCCATTGTGGTATTTCATCTAAAGCCTGACAAGACAGTTCGCAGCTCAAAGAAGAAGAAGAGCAGAAGAAAAACTTGAAGCCTCCAAACCAGAAAGAACCACTGTAGAGAATGAGAGCTTTCTCTGCTATTTATTCCGTCGAGCCGACATCATTATCTAGGGGGTTTCTACCTGTCAGAAGGTAAACAACCTAACATCTACAATTTTCTTTTCTTTAATCTCTTTTGTTCTCCTTCAATTTATTTCGTGCTTTAGTTTGAATCTGATTTTTCGCTGGCAATAAACTGATCTCATTAGGAACTAGTTCTTGCCTGCTATCTTCAAATTATTACTTTTGGGCCTGGTTGCAGTATGGAAATGATAAACAGGGAGTGAAAGGATATTCTTCTCAATGCCATTGGTATCTGGGAAATGTTTGGGCAGGATTTTCTTCTAAATATGTTTAAGGGCATTTCTTTCTGATTCTATCTCTTTCCCTTGAAGAAATAGGTGGTTTATATGTTAACTGATCCTAGTATTTCCTACACAAGTTTAAAATTCAATTTCAATCTTCTATGCATAGTGATTGGTAGAACATTTTTTCACTGTATAAAACTACATACAAAAAGAAGATTTTGTTTCAGTTTTCATCCTTTCTTTTTACAGATATAATAAAAAGACTTCTAATCATATTCATAGCTATAGTTGGAATGACTTCAAGCGTAAATAATTTCTAAAAATTGAGTTTTTGACCCATTACAGATTTGACACAAACTTTTAGCAAGGAAAGTAAGGAAACACCTTTAAAAAATACCTACCAAAATAAGTCTTGAAGAGCTTTGATGGCAACAACATGTTTAATTCATGTCCAATTCCAAATACATGGTCCTTGGTTTGTTGGGTTGATTATTTGACAAGCTTTCTACTGACAATTATCCAACAAAAAAAAAAAAGAAGCTTTCTACTGACACCAAAGTCAAGCCAATCTAATGAGTTTTGATGCTCAAATTTTTGTCTGCAAGTAGAGTGATGGGCTTGAGATTTTTTATCTGCAGTTTCATTTGAAGTAGTTCATCTTCAACTTTGAATTTGGGACCAGTTACTTTTCTTGGCATTGGTTTTGTTTGTCACGGGCAACTACCTATTTGAGATTAGTTATTCAACTTTGGATATGAATTAATTGTCAACTCTTATTTGCATTAGTTTTTGAACTTGAGATGTTTTATCTATGATTTCAAAATTATGAGTGGCAAGGCATGAAGAATTTTGTGAGTTAATGTTATCAATTTATGTGTCCAGGATTTGTCTTAGTTTTCCCCAACGTGTCTTCTTCTGCAAAGCGAAGTCTGGTAAGCAATTTTTGTGGTCATTTTTTGTGACTATGGCTTCTATAATTCCGAACCCATCCTCAACCCAGAACATAAAAGCAAATAGGGTTGGCAATGAGCTAAGTGGAACTGAGCTTTGCGCAGCTAGGGTTGCCCAGCTGGTGACATCTCAGTTGGTCTTGGACTTCTAATGTAGTGAACTCATGCTAGGATTGGATCAGCTCACTTAGGTTCATTTTCAATATTCAGCCTATCCAAACCAAAAAGGTTTATAATACCACTAAGCCATAATCCTAAACTTGCTGCCCAAATTTATTAAAATAGAAAAGATGTATATGATATCTAAACAAGTCAAGCCCACAGGCTCAGTTCCAAACTCAAGCTTCCACAAACTTAAACAGTAAACTCAGACATTTTTTTCCTTTTTCTTTTTCTTGGTTGTCATTGTTTTGTTTCTTCTTGTACAAGAATAATCAACATGTTCTAATGTGATGGCAGCTGAATTTGGGCCAGATGGATCTCTCAGCTTTAGAACAGTCTCTCATACTCTGTTAGTAGCAGAAAAAGAGGAGGCCAAAGCTGTCCTAACCTTGTTCTTGAGGAAACAAGGTCTGAGCAATGCAGTTGCAGCAAGGATAATCAACAAGTCAGACCTTTTTATTAACCACCTTGTATCAAGACTCCATTCTGTTCATAAATCTCGATATCTAGTAGGTTCGACTTCAAAAGCATTGTCATTTTTTATTGATTGTATTGTCTAGCTGATAGCCCATATTTTGTGACCTGGCTGATCAAATCTTGGAACATTTGCAGGAAGAGAGCTTACCACCCTTGAGATCAGAGATGCTCTTATTCCATATCTTGAGTCTCTTCTTGAGGAACATGGAAACGTTCTGGTAGATGTGGTTGAAAACTTTCCTAACCCACCTGGGAAAGAAAGATCAATTGTTCCAGCTTCTCCAAGCACTTCAAATCTTAGCTCCAAGAAAGTGAAGGCTGTGGCCCGGGTAAGTGAGATAGGCCCTGATGGGCAGCTGCCTGCACATGTACTCTACCTCATAGACCTAGGGATCGAACTTGAACAGATTAAGGCAATGACTCGCAAGTTCCCAGCTTTTGCCTACTACAGCTTGGAGGGTAAAATAAAGCCAATTGTTGAATTTCTCCTTGAACTTGGAGTGCCCAAATCAGACATCCCTACGATCCTCATCAAAAGGCCTCAGTTGTGTGGTATCAGTATCTCTGAGAACCTCATCCCAACCATGGCATATTTGGAGAACTTTGGTGTTGACAAGAGACAGTGGGCGAAGGTGATACATCGCTTTCCTGCGTTGCTGACTTATAGCAGGCAGAAGGTGAAAGCATCTGTAGATTACCTGTATGAATTGGGCCTCTCAGCAGAGAGTGTAGGTAAGATCCTTACACGTTGTCCGCATATCATAAGTTATAATGTGGACGATAAATTACGGCCCACAGCCGGATACTTCCGATCAATGGGTGTTGATGTTGCTGTTCTTCTCCACCGATCCCCACAGACTTTTGGTCTCAGTATTGAGGCCAATCTGAAGCCTGTGACGGAGTTTTTCTTGGAGAGAGGATACACAGAGGCAGAGGTTGGGACCATGGTTTCAAGGTATGGAGCTCTATACACTTTTAGTCTGGGTGAGAACTTGATACCAAAATGGGATTTCTTTTTGACCATGGATTATCCTAATTCGGAGCTGGTAAAATTCCCACAGTATTTTGGTTACAGTTTGGAGGATAGGATTAAGCCAAGATATGCTCTTGTGAAAGAAAGTGGAGTGAAATTGTTGCTGAACCAGGTATTATCTCTTTCAGATATTGAATTTGGTAAGGTATTAAAGAGGAAAGTGAAGAAGATGCTTGATGATTAGACTTCACTTAGTGTAACAGACAGCGAAGATCATTGTTCAGACCTAGAAAGAAAGAGATAATAGTAATGTATAGATAACAAAACTCTGTATGCCCATCTTGAGGAAATAGTTGTAGATTGTCAGATCAGACACCAGTTATTGCTGCAGCAGTGGGCAAGAAAATTGTCCGATAATTGCATGTAATTTTTTTAGGGGTTGGAAAAATGTATACAGATTGTCATCCATTTTTCCATTTTAATTTAATATAAGCTAAGCCTGTTGTCTTTGATGATGGAAATTGTGCTTGGTTCATGAGCAACCATTGCCATCGGAATGTTTCATGTACATTGTGGCAGCCAGGGTTTCAACTAAAAGTTCTTTTCTTACTACTACAAGCCGCTGTAGCTATATTGTGGAGCATACTTAAACATGCAGAAATCAAAAGGACTTCAGCTTCAGAGATGTTATATGTTCAAAGAACGACTGTTCTTGCCTTACAATCTGATCACAGTGTCCCCATTGGCATCACAAACAACATCCATTGCATCAGAACACAAAATGATCAGTGAAACTGTTGTCAACAATGCCCACCGTAGCGCCTTGATCACAGCCCATATTTCAGCATCAGCGGCTCTGGTGGCTTTGCAAAGCTGTCGTCCGACAACTGCAATAAGAGAACTTTGTGATGTGATAGCAAAGCAAAACCAATAGTTGCATGTATTCGATTATGATTAAAAGAGCCATCAACAAACATAAAGCAATCCTTGTCTGACGCAGATGCGGATAAGGGATCGTGTGTGGGCTGCTACCTGTTGGTAGTAGATTTTGGTTCCCCACCACCACGTCGTAGATACTTCCATAGTTCCATACATCTTCAACTACACCTCCGGGATTAGGAGAGACATGATGGGAGAGTATTGCGTTCCTTTGGTCCCAGATTAAGCGTGTAAATTGTAATGATCACAAATTCACAATGCAGATTATCTATTTCCTCCTTATTAAGCATCAGATTCCTAAGCCAATCATGGACCACCAAAGGCTTTGAACACAATTTGTTCTTCCTAGGAATGGTCTCCCAATACTGTTTCCATAAAAATAATTGGAAACAGTACGGATTATGGAATGTCAAATTTCCACGATGACCCACTCGGCCTCCTTTTTTATAAGAGGAAGTGTGGGATCAGACGCGCAAATCCACAGGCTCTCTGGCAACCGGCAAGGTTTTTAAAGCCGGTCTGGGGACTGGTTTCCGGGTCGAACGGATGGTCTGTTCTGACTTAAAAAATATAAAAAGGGCTAAAAACTGTTATCTGAGTCAATGGTTTGACCACCCAGGTCAGTGGGTTGTTGACCAAATCAATGGTTTTTGGCCAAAAAAGCATTAGGGGTGCTCATAACAAACCGAAAAACCAAAAAATCAAACCAAACCGAAAAAATGCAGTTAACTGAACTGATCAATTTGGTATTTTTAAAAAACCAAGGGAATCGGTTTGGTTTTCGGTTAACCTAGAAAATAAACCGGTAGTTAACCGAACTGACTGATATATGTATTTATGTGTATATTTTATATATATTTTTAATATATCTCACATATTATTTATATATTATATATAAATATATACATATTATATTTATAATTATTTATTTATATTTATCTATTTAAAATATATAATATATTATAAATATATTACATATATTATATATATTTATTGTATTTATAATATAATATAGTATAATATAATATAATATTTATTTATTTATAATGTATGTTATAAATATAAAAAACCAAAACACCAAAGAATCGAACCATTCAAAATTCGAAACCAGTGATATCTGTTCAATTTCAGTTTGGGGATATGGAAAAATTGGTAGAACCACTTTGATTTCAAAAAAAAAAAAAACCCTTATGATTTGGTTAACTGAATCGTAAGCACCCCTAAAAAGCAGTTTTAGGGTGAAACATAACCCGTTACCTGACCAGTTCCTAGGTTTTCTGGTCCGATCCGGTTTTGAAAACCATTCTCTTTGTGGTATGGTTAGTGGCATCTTGCTCTATCCCTATCCCATGAGCCCCCTCTCATGTTTGTTATGTAAGACCCAAAAATGGCTACAAGTACAGAAAACCAACTTATAATGTTTTTCTGTCCATTTTCTTCATGCAGATCGATTTGCCTATACATAAACTACAAAATGGTTTAACTTGCTAAGCAATTCTCATGCTTTGCTACCTTGTCTAAACATGTGATTCAAATTTTCAAAAACCAATAAAAGAATGACCGAAAGTAAATTGATTTACATAAAAGGCTTTTATGTGAATTGGGGCTGAGTTAGAATTTCGTCTTTACTTATGTTTAAAATCAAAGTAGAAATATAGATGATAGTAAAGTTGATTATCCAAACAAACAAATAATGATATTCCAAATCCAAATAGGGCATAAATAAATCCATGTTTTAGGAAAAATTTTCTATTAGTATCATGTACTTTGGGCCTAGTGTGACTTTGTGTCCAATAATTCATTACCCGAACTACCAAAACATATCAATCTAGTACATGTTGTTAATCAGCCGCTAAATGGCATTTGAAAAGACACAAATGTCCATCGAGTGTCATCTAATTCTCTTTATCAACCTTCCAATGTTGAAAAAATTGAACAATCCCAAATCCTTGCTTCTTTTATTCAAGGTGGTTGGTTGCCTCTCTTATGCTAATACCTCCAAGGTGGGCCGAGACAAATTCGCCCCACGCTCTCGTAAATGTGTGTTTATTGGGTACTCTCAAGGACAAAAGCAGTATCGCCTTTATGATTTACAAACTGGGCAGATATTTGTATCACGGGATGTCATCTTTTTCGAAGACCAATTTCCATTTGCTGGACATTTATTTGAAAATGGTTACTCTTCAGATATTGTGATCCCATTACCAGCATGTGATGATGCTGATATGAGCTTACAACAACCTATGGCCCAACTATTGATATTGACTCACCTTGTGAGATTGATTCACATATTGATCTTGTAACAGTCTCAGATTTGTTCACACCTACCTTGGGCAGACCCACTTGCTCTCGTCATTCTCCATCCCATCTTAATGATTTTGTATGTCCTACATTATCATATACCAACACACGATACCCCATTTCCAATTATCTCACATATTCACCCTCAGCTTTCTAAATAAACCTTATGCAAATACCCACTGAACCAAAGTCATTTGCCCAAGCACATCAGTTCCCTTGTTGGCACCAAGCAATGGTTGATGAGCTTGCCGCTTTAGAAAGAACTAATACATGGACCCTCACCGATTCGCCGCTTGGAAAGAAGCCTATAGGTTGCAAGTGGGTTTATAAAGTCAAGCACAAGGTGGATGGCAGTGTTGAGTGGTTCAAAGCACACTTGGTAGCAAAAGGCTACACGTAAACCAAAGGCGTGGGTTACACTGACACATATGCTCTTGTCGCAAAGCTTGTCACTGTTCGATGTCTATTGTCCCTTGTTGCAACACATCACTGGGAGCTTCACCAAATGGACGTCAACAATGCTTTTCTACATGGAGCATTGCAAGAAGAAGTCTACATGCTACCACCACCAGGAGATGCACGTGTATGTCGTCTTAACAAGTCCATATATGGCCTGAAACAAGCTTCAAGAAATTGGTTTGATACCTTAGCGCGAGCATTAAAGCAATGGGGATTTGTGCAATCTCTTGCTAATAGTACACTCTTCACCATGACCAAGCTGGGATGCTTTCTTGTTGTGTTGGCTTATGTTGATGACCTTGTACTAGCTGGGAATGATCCTTCCGCCATCGCAGCCCTAAAGTAGTATCTTAGCGATTGCTTTCCCATCAAGGACCTTGGACCTTTACATTATTTCTTGGGCATTGAGGTATCTCGTGATGATCGCAACATATTTCTTAGCCAACGTACATACACGTTGGATATTCTAAAGGATGCTGGAATGCTTGCTTGTAAATCCAACCTATTTCCCATGGAACAACACCACCACCTTCAACATGATTCTGGACCACCCATTGATCATCCAACTCAATGTAGAAGACTAGTTGGTCACCTCATTTGTCTAACTATAACGCGACCCAATATCACTTACTCAGTGCACATCTTAAGCCAATTCATGGCTGCTCCGCACCAACACCATCTGGAAGTTGCAATGCATATACTGAAGGGATGAGAGATCCATCGTATGGACGCCCAAAGATTGCGGAATAAGGAGGGTGAATTTCAAAAAATTTTCTCTCCCTTCAACTGGGAATCGCATTCCCTATTTTAGAAAATCATATTTTCAAGGATCATTCTTGAACCATAAATTAAATCAGATCTGAATCAAAAGGAGTAGGAGAGGATTATACCTGATACAGATAAATAGTATCTCCCAACGAAGGTGTTCACGCCCAATGAAGGATCCAAAGATTGCTCCCACTGAAGATGGCGCAGTGCAGGATGGAGCAGAATCAGCAGTGTTCTTCTCCAAGATCTGTCCTTCGCAAGAATCAACAGGATGGCACGTGAGCACAACTTCCTATCAATTCTTTCTCAAAGAACTGATGTCAAGATCGAATCTTGATTTCTCCCACAATTGGAGATCGAACTGGCAAACAGGGCGGCAAGAGAGTATTCGCAGGGTGCAGAATTCTCTCTTCTTGTAATTTCAGCACTGAAGAAAATCTGATTGTGTGTCTCCTAAAGGCTGCCGCCCCCTCCTTTTGTTAACCTAAAAGATCAGCTCCTAATCCAATTAGGAGCTGCTTATCCAAATCATATTTGGATAAGACCCCTTTTAAGTGATAGGGATAAA